CTGATTATCACACCAGGGGATGCTTTGTACGTTGAGGAGGTGGCATTCCAATCACTGCAATATTTTTTATTGTAACTCAAGTTTGACATTTATTTTATGTATACTAATTCATATCGGATACTCACAAACTTAGCAGATGTTGGTCCACTTACTGCCAAGGACTGGCTACAAATCCCCTAGAAATTTCTAAAAGGCTATGAGATGACTTCTACAGTCCTAGAAACTCAGTAGCCACCATTCAGGGCCTGGGCTATGTAGGAGCTTGGTTATTCACTGAGTGGAATAAGTAATGTACACACAAAGTTAACCCATGTTCACAGATCTTCATTTTGTTGTTTTTGTTTTTGTTTTTGTTTTTGTTTTTTCCAGTACCAGGAATCAAACTCACGACCTTGCGCTTGCCAGGCAGGTGCTGCACAGTTCTTAATAGCCAACCCAACTTCCCCTGGAGATCCCAAATTCTGTCTCCATGAATATGCCTGTCCATTTAAACTTTCACAAAGGCATTTTGCTCATTAACTCTCTTTGTGTAAGAATTCACAAGCAATTTCCTTCTAAATTTCAGTCAAGAAAAATTTTCTACAGACAAACTGAGGGTTCCCTTTATCAAGGGTAAAAATTCACCATTTTTTTCTTTTGGTGGTCAAGAAATTCAAGGATATAATTTATATATCACTGCAATGATAACCCTATCTCTTGAGAAAATTTCTCCTTTAAATTATGAGTTTTGTTTTAGATTTTAATGCATTGTGATTTTCAAATTTACCCATTTTAAGTATCTATTTCCTGATAAAATAACTTTGCTTTCCTTCCCCTTCCTCTCCCAGCTCCTCATGCTCTTCTATGACCATTTCACTTGCTCCACTGCTTACATTACTTTCACAACTTTATAAAGTATAGTGCAAGAAAGTCATCTTTTCTTTAACCATTTCAGGATTATATCTGGGGCTCTGTAACAAAAAACAGATCAATAGGACAAAAGTATATAAAGTTAAGTTTATATGACACAGGAGTCCTCATAATAAAATGAAGTCTTGTTGGGCATGGTGGTGTCCTCCAGTAATCTCAGCACTCAGGAGGCTAAGGCAGGAAGATCACCTGGTGAGTTCAAGGCCAGGATGGGATACATAAGCTAGTTCAAGGCCAGCCTACACTGCATACCAAGCCCCTGTCTCAAAACAAACAACAATAAAAGACTCAAAGAAGGAATTAAGAGTTGAGTGCTTATGTACTCTACAAAGAGTAACAAACTATAACAATGCCATTAGATCAAGAAGCTTGGGCTAGGGCAGTTAATGATGTAAAAGTTATCAGGAAGATAAGGGTTAGTCTAACTTTTTTATACAGAATATTTTTGTCCCTTATGAGAATATAATTTTTCTTCTGGTATAGGGATGGCACTTTCAATACAAGGGATTCATCACTTGCTTTTAAGAAGAAAAGGGGATGGCCAGAGTGACTTTGCCTCTTTGGTAGGGGAACTGGGGACTGAACCCAGCACCTGGAGCCATAGGCACTATGAGCTTCATTTCCAACCTTTTTCATTCTTTTGAGATGAGGCCTTGCTAGGTTCATCTGCCTGGCCATCAACTTGTGATCCATTTGCATTGACCTCCTGAGTAGCTGGGATTACAGGCGTGCACCACAGGTACCTGCTAATTTTTAAGTATCTTTATCTCCAAACAATCCTTACGCTAAAATGGAGTTTTCCAGACAGCATATTTTGTAACCTTCCAAAATTCATACTCCCTCTACCAGAGAGAGCCTTTTAATACCCCCCCACTGACCTAACTCTCTGCCCACCACAGTGTGAGCAGCTTTGCTCCACCATGAGCTCTCCACCAAGAGGCACTGCCTTCCACCAGGCCCAAAGCCACCGAGCCCGATGACCATGGACTGAGAGCTCTGAAACTATGAGTCAAAATGAATCTTTTCCCATTTTAAGTTGATTTTCTTATTTTATCACAGTGAAGAAACTTAGTGGTCAAGGTCAAAGCATTCTAATTAATGCATACTGTGCTTTGTGGCCTGGTTCTAAAATAGGATATTGTGTAATTCTGAACTTAAACATTTAAGAGGATGGTAGTACGCTTTGAAAATGCTTTCTTATACTGTTTTTTGTTCTCCTGGAGCTCCTAAGTGCTTTACTTTTCCTGTACAATAGGCATTCTTAATCCTTTGGTTGGGTACCACCAAGCCAGAAATCGTTCCAGCTTCCTCCTTTTGCTAGCAGCTTTCTATATGGCTGCATAAATTAATTACTCTGAAGTCTGCATGGAATATGAGGGCCTTGGTCTTTTGCAAAGTAGTAACTCTAGATGATTTCTAATTTAGGCATTTTTCAGGACTTCAAAGGAAATCTGTTCTTCATTAGTGGAAATGTTAACACTTAAATCAGCTTCATGAAAATATAAAGTTGAGATTCCATAGCACCAGCAGGAGGGAAAACCTTCACGCTTGAATAAAATTAAGACTTCCAAATAAGTAGGAACCAAATTTTTAGAAACTAAGGAGAAAATATTTTAAATATACAGCTAGCAAAATAAAAAGCTAAGAAATGATGCTACAAAAAATAATTTCTAGTCATGATGAATATATGGAACTACTAAAGATGACAATATTTCTAAACTCTGGAAAATAAACCTCAAAAACACAGTAAATTTGCATTCCCTTAGTTGAAATATATTTTATGTAGTCTTAAACAATACAGATAGGTTTAAAGCTTCCAGCTAGCAAATTCACTGGTCAGCTGAGTAACTTCCATGTGAAAGAGTTGTAATAGGCAATAAAAATTGAAAGTCCTGGTGTTATAGTCAAAGATTTCGGCCAGAGGTGACAGGCACGGGGGAGTGGGGTGGTGGTGGTAGTGAGAAATGCAGGGGACACATGTGAGATACGGAGTGTCATCAGAACAGGGGGAGTCAGCACTGAGCACTGAGGACTTAGCGGAGGAGCAGCATAAAAAGGTAAAGCTGACGTTGAGACCTGAAGGATAAGGATGTTCTCAGGAAACAAGAGGAAGAAAGGCACCATGGGAAGGAACACGTCACCAGTGAGGATGCAGGGTAGCCTAGCCAAGGGGATCATCGGCTGGTCTGGCTCACGTAAATGATACGACAATGAGAGAAATTTGGAGGCAGGACAGAAATACACCAGACAAGTCACCAGGGGGCTTATGAATTCAATTTCAAAATATCTGAAAACTTTTCACAGCAAAGAAACACTGTAGTCAGATTTGTATTTTAAATATGAAGAACAGGCTTAAAGGAGTCAGGACTTGGCAGAAATCCCTGTGAGAAAGTTCAAGAACCAGTGTGCATTAGTCTGGGTTGCTGTAACAAAATGCCCCAGATTGGGTGCCTTACACAATAGATTTTTTTATAGATACGGAGCCTGAAAGTCCCCAGGCCAAGGGCTGAGGTCTCTTAAGGTCTCTTTCCTTGGCTTATCAACAGCTGCCTTCTCACTGCTCCCTCCTGTGGCTTCTTTTCTATACTTGCACATTCCAGAGGGCTCTTAAGCACATAGTCAGACTGCATTAGAGACCCACTCAACAGCATTATTTTATCTTCATTCTTTTTAAAGACCCCAAACAGTCATATTCTAAGGTATTGGAAGACAGGACTTCCACATACAAATTTGGGGGAAGGCACCAGTACAGGGAGGGGCAGGAGAAAGGAGGCAAACCAAAGGAGCACCAGGAGGTAGAAATTAATGTGATTTAATTGTGTGATAGGTCACAAAAGATAAGGAGGTCTACCTGAGTTTTGATGTAGGCAAGCAAGTAGGCCTCATCTCGGCACATTAGGCAATTTTTAAAAAACAAAAGCAAAAAACACAAAATGAAGACAGGAGATTTAGTATGCCCAGAATAATGAAGATCCAATTCTGAATATGCTGCAAGTAAAGTACTTAGCAGGTAAGTAGAAGTTCTGAGCCTGGGAAAACACAGTATAGATAGAGGCTAAGTGTACCTTCAACGGTCCACAAAGAAAATGTAAATAAGAATAGAAGAGAATAAAATCCTGGTAAATAACATTAAAGAGTAGACAAAAAAGGGGCTGGGGCTTTAGTTCAGCGGCACAGTGCCTGCCTGGCAAGCATGAGGTCATGAGTTTGATTCCCAGTACCGGAAAACAAGACAAACCAAAAAAAAACCAAAAGAGTAGGCAAAAAAGCAGAAGCCAAACACAAACACAAAAGAAGCAAAGAATCAGAACAAAAAAAAAGTGGTTCAAAAAGTTGAGATCAAAAATTTCAGTTGTATGGCCAGGGATATAGCTCAGTGGCACAAGTGCCTGCCTGGCAAGTGCAAGGTCCTGAGTTCAATTCCTTTCCCAGTACCAAAAACAAAACAAAAATTTCAGTTGTAGATTGCCACTAATTCTTAATTATTTTCCAAAAACCTAGTATTTTACTTCAAGGGCTATATGTTTTCTAAATGAGCTCTGATTTATGAAATAAATTAGAATAATAATTTGTGATTATAGTTCATTATCCAGAATGTGTTCAAAATACTCTATTGATATTATATAGCTTCCACCATATGATTTGTAAACTTCTAATCTTTAGAATGAAACATTTCTAAATGTAATGTTACACATCTTAAAATGATTAGTAAACTGATTTTTTCAGGATGATTCTTGACACTTTCACTTGTGTTGGAATATAAGTTTTGAGACCATCTATAAAATAAATGATACCTCCATGCGTGGTGGTACATGCTTGTACTCCCAGCACTTGACAGGCTAAGACAGGAGGGTTGGTGTGAGTTCGAGGCCAGCCCAAATTACAAAGTGAGACCCTGTCTCAAAAAAAGATCTACCTACAAGCCATGTAAAGACCTTAAATGCTCATGCAGAGGTGATAGCTAAGGGATTACTATTTGAACAACACAATATGTAACCTAGAATGCCAGAGTCTAAAGCAGTTTGAATTTTTTTTAATGAAATCTCCTGGAGTGTACCTAATGATTTTATGTAAAAAAGGAGGAAAATAAGTTGCATATGGAAGTGAACATTTATTTATCAGCTCTACTAATATTGTTTTTACACAATCAGATATAGATAGTTTAAAGTTGCACACTGCTCTGTATAACTGAAACACGGATACAAGTGATTCATTATTATGTTTTTAAAAAGCAACATAGGGAATATTCTGGAAGATTTTAATCAGTTTAACACTATTATACATTAAAGAACAAAATGTCCCACGAACATTTCCTCATAAAGCATGTAGTTTTTATATTTACATAGTAGTATTACAATTTTAAATGTTAATCTATGATACAATAATGTTACTTCAGAAAACATAAAAAATATATTTCTTTTTAATGGTCATGCTCCCATTTTTGATGAAAGCTCACTTATCCTAGCATTACTCGAGAAGTTTAGAAATGCCTAACAGGTATCCAGTCAGTGTTATAAGCCCGTCAGGACAGCAGGTTGTCATGCAGAGTAGGCAGAAGGCTCCTCGTCACTTAGGTCTGAATCTTCATCCACGCCTTCAATGACTGACTTCTTCCCTTTACAGCAGGACACAGTTAATCCAATCAAGAATACCTGTAAAGTTAAATGAGCTGTGGTTATTTCTCAAATCTAAAATTGTTCAGAGTGGCATTACTGTGATACTAACAGGTGATGAAGACACAAAGAAGGGGCTTGCTAAACATTTCACTTCAAAAAGATGGTCAAATGGGACCTGGGAGAGCTGTACTCACCCCAAGAAAGGCCCAGTTCCCGAAATAGTATGCAGCACTGAAGAACCAGAATTTGTGAAGGAAAAGGTACGTCCGGGTGACAGTACACTCATCTACAGAAGCAAAGAGAAGACCATGGTAAGACGCGTTCCTAGAACTGACAAGTCACTTTGCATCTAGAATGTTATTAACCAAAGCTCATTACCAAGATCATCTTGCTAGCGAGTGTTACAGACAGGACTGAGATTTAATTTCTCTCAAAGCCCACTCTCAATCACTGTATTAACTGCCAACTATTAGGAAATATTTGTAAAAGATGAATGCCATCATTGTAATCTGGGTCATCAGTACTAAAAACATATTGGCTGGTGCAATTTATTTGAAATAGAAAAATAATTTCAATTGGAGTATCAGGCATATCCCAAAATAAAAGAAAAATAAAATTTATCAGTAACTACCAAGAAACAATGGACAAAGCTGTTAGATACGGTTAGTATTGACTTGTATTTTTCTAAAAAAAACAATTCTCAGGACAGTTCAAACTTGGGAGGTGTTTTTTTGTTTTTTTGTTTTCTTTTTTTTTGAGAGGCGTTTTAAAAACTTTTTTCTTGGGGCTGGGGATTTAGCTCAGCGGCACAGTGCCTGCCTGGCAAGTGCAAAGTCGTGAGTTTGATTCCTGGTACTGGAAGAAAAACAAAACAAAAACAAAACAAAACAAAACAAAACAAACATTTTTTTCTTTTTAAGAATGCTATGAAAAGATAGTTACTTCTAAAAAAATAGTTACTTCAAAAATCACTGTGGACAGGCTTCTTATCTGAAGTTTTTAGATAGCATTATGGCTGCAACTAACATAAATCACACATTTTTTTCAAATAAAATACAACTGTTTCGCTAGACATGTTGGTGGTGCTTGCCTATAATCCACTGGGGAGGCTGAGGCAGGAGGATTGGCATGAGTTCAAGGCCAGCCTAGGCTACATAGTGAGTTCAAAGCCAGCCTGAACTGTATAGTAAGACCCTGTCTCAAAAACCAAAACAAATATAACAAAATAACTGTTAAAGTAGCAGACATTATTTGATATTTGTGTCAGATTCCATACTACTGTTATCCAAGTACATTATTTCCATTATGTTACAAAGTCCTCTCTATATATAGTAGCATAGATACAGAAAATGATGTCTAAGGAAAATTTGCTTATTCAAGGCACCCAGAAAGGCCTAAGTGTCACCATGAAATGTAACTGTGTGAAAAATTACATTTGCTACAGCTAATAACAGATAACAATTTCACAAATTTTAGAGAGCCTTTATTCTGTGCAAAAGAAAATCCTCATCTTACCAGGCCATTTCTTTTCAGTTGATTAATTACAAAAGAGGTCGTGATTTCTGATTTCTGCATACGTTTATCCAAAGGAGGCAACGACAAAACATTGTCTTCCATGCAATTAGGAGACCAGTATCACATTCTAGAGCTCATTAATACACCTTTTATTTTTATGAACTGTCCTCTCAGCTTCAATAAGGGCTGTTTTTTTAAGCAAAGTTGAGCTGTGAGATTTTTACTCCTGCTTACTGCAGGAGGTATTTAATACACTCTTAAAGTTTTTGTGGCTGACACATGGTTTTCTGTAAAGCAGGCATTTGGTTTTATTTTCCTAAGATATAAGACATGCCACACGATATCTGAAGATTTAGACAACCTAAATCTCAGAGACTCAAGTTCCTCCCACGTTTCCTTCCGAGTTGCTGCTCCACAGCAAGCTCTGACAAAGCTGTCTCTTTCTGGTAAGAAAACATGCAATTCATAGCGAAGCAACCTCTTCCATCAATAAGAACCATGAATCCACTTCCTGTAGACTTCACGATATCCTTTTTACTCAAGGGCTTCACGATATCCTTTTTACTCAATTAACAGAAAAGTTTAGAAGAAATATTTACAGTTCTTGAAGAAAACTAGAAGGCTATCCAGCAGCGGTGGCCGAACAAATGCTTGCCTGGCCCCGGCGGTTAGCACCCAAGCTCCCGTGGCTGTCTGTCTGAGCGGCCTCCCGCACGGGAAATGCCTCGAGTTCTCTCTGCTCCTACCATGTTTTATTCTGACTTCAGCTGCAGAACTGATTTCAGGGTAAGAGTAATTTCATGTGGCATGTCTCCATTAGATAGTTCTGACTGTATTAAAGCACGGAGTACTCATACTCATTGGTATTCAATATGACTCTTGTCCACTGGTGCGAAAGGAGAGGCCAGGCGTTTCAGTCTGTCGCTTGACCATGCGCATGGGAATGGGCACATCTGCACTGCTGGAGCGTGTACACTTGTAAGGCCGGGTCATCCCCACCTCTCCTCACAGGATCATTGCAAAGACCAAGTGAGGCCATTAAAACCCAAGGATGGTGGCAGTTAATGTTAATTTCCTTCCATTTTTTCTTAATTATAAACAAACCCATGATAAAGAACATGGTTCTTAACAGCTACTTAAATGGTAGCAAGATACACAACTAGTTTTAAGATTTCAGAAGTACATGTCCAACTTCCCAATATCTATCTTCCAACTTGTTCAAATGACAAAGGAAAAGGGAGAGGTGAGGGGAAGGGAAGGAAGGGAAAAGGAATTAAGAAAAAAAGAATGGAAGCAACAAAGTGGGAACAAAGCTTTTATAAATGGGGACGGGAGGGGAATGGGAAAAAAGAACTGAGATATATTATGTACAGGTATAAATTCCCCATGATGAATGTGATCATTATGTATGGTGAACATGCACTAATAAAATAAATAAATTAAATTAAATTTAAAAAAGAAGTACATGTCCAATAGGAGCAAGGAAAATAACTATTCAGGGATTAGTATTTTGACTACTTATGGGTATTTTGTTATTTTTCTCTTCACAGATTTCAAACAGACACAAGTAGACTATGCAAAATTCAAATGTTTGCAATTCAGTTATAGGATATACTGCTAAAAAGTATCAGTTCTTCAAATAAATGAAGCCTTTTTGAGTATTTCAAAAAATGAAGAGAGACTTAGGCTGGGAACCATGCAAAAAATGCTTGTTCATGGAAAAACAAGAGTATTTTCCATGGCTTAAGTACTGCCAGAGCTCCACTGCACAAGTACAAATCTGTTTTTTAAAAAAGCAACTCAATCTTCTCAATACTACTAAAGCTCATAACTTTAAAAGTAGAATTCTAATATTCATCTCCTTACATAAAGATACTTTAAAAGTCAAAATTTTACTGAAGTAGAAATTTCAGAATGGGGATTATAAGAGGCTGAGCTGGGAGAAGAAAGTAAAATCAAATCACTTTCCCCCAGAGGTCTAATAATCTGCTCAGTGACATTTCAAACTGGCTTATACTCTGACTCTGGCCGACCACCAAAATTACACTGTAAATATTTTCCCATCACACTGTTCACATGCATACCACCTGTAAAGGTTGTGGTCTTTGATACAAGAGTTCTAAAATAACATAAAAGGTAAAAACCACCGTCAGTGCTCTGTTTGTTCTTGAAAACACGCTAGAATAAAAATATATACATACAAGTATGTAACGGCTTTTCACAGTTAGTGTTATATACCATATTTGCTTTTACAGGGTGGCAACACCCACAGAATAACTTTTTGATAAGCTTCATGCTGTATTTCATAGTCAGGGGCTGATATATGCGCTGCCGAAGCGAGCACAATAGTCAGGGGCAGATTAGACACTGAATAAATTAAAACAAAAACAAAACAAAACAAAAGATATATGCGCTGCCGAAGCGAGCACAATAGTCAGGGGCAGATTAGACACTGAATAAATGCAGGGAAGGTTGTTTTGTCACCATCTGCTGACTTCCAGTTGCTCACCTGATATCCAGATCTATAGATTTTTTTCGACATTTATCTGAGAAACTAACAATAAATATTTTTCACTTGCTTTTCACCTTTAAAGTAAATTTAAATTGGGAGACATTCCATTTAGGGATTCTGTCTTAAAATCAGAAGTGTTGGGGGCCGGGGATTTAGCTCAGCGGCAAAGCGCCTGCCTGGCAAGCGCAAGGTCGTGAGTTCGGTTCCTGGTACCAGCAGAAAAACAAAACAAAAAACAAATAAACAAAAAAAGTGTTCAGGAGCCTTCTGACTGTTGTCACTCAAAAGGGCACACAAAGGTTCCAATTAAACTAAAGACTAAATGTTAACAGTGAAAAATAAAATATAATTTCTTTTACTTTCTGATGACAGGGGCTATACAGAAAAGATCAAAATAAAAAGTGTGAAGGAGATCTGAACTACATGAAGGAAACTGAGGCTTTTAAATTCCATTATTCCTGCCTTTCCTCCAACTTTTCCCACATATCAGAGAAAGAGAAATTCAATTAAACCATTTCTGTCATATATTAGCAACCTTTGCTGATTTACCTGATAACCTGTACACTACATACTTATTTCCTTTTAGACCACTTATGCTGTTGCTTTCAATCTATGCTGACTGCCACTAAGATAACTACAGTTTATCAACTGTAACAATTTGCATCTTTACTTTAAGTGTTGATTTAAATCACGAGTCACTATAATGTCAAACCCTCACGAGATCAATTTATAAATAATTACACTCTATATATTTGTACTCAGTTATTAAACAAACCTTTATGTTACATATGCACAGACAGAAAAGGCATTTGAGAAAACTCATGTACTGTGGAGAATATTAAGGTAGGTATTTTGTTTCACAAGCAAAAACAAAACAAAACAAAACTGGTAGAAAATGGAACTATTTAGAATGTTACTTCATACCTCATTGCTGCCCAGGACCATACTAAGTAGGGCCCTACTACTATTGAATAATTTATAAAGGACACATAAACATGCTTTGTTGTTTTTTGGAGACAGGGACTCACTATGTAACTCACTCTGCAGTCTTTAGGTCAATACATTGGGTTTCATCTAACAAAGAAAAGTAAAAAGCTAGAACATATTCAACATTTTAATATTTTATTACTTTAACGACACTACTCAAACACACAAAAAAAGAAAACGTGGTTCAATTTGTAAAACTGTATTAGAGGGAAGACAAAAATTTAATTATACTTTTTATCAAGAAACTTATTTATATTCATATAAGAAGAAGG